ACTGTGGAAGTAGTCGAATATGACATACAGTAGGGTCATGATTGCTTGAACTCAGAAGTCAACTTCCGGCTTATAGACTTTTTTGCCGTATAAGTATACGTTGCCCAGGGTGCACCACGTAGAGGTAAGTCTATCGCACACCCCTTTTAAATAATGTTAATAATGTCAAGGAAAGAGTAGTCTCGTTAACTTTTCCGTTGTAATTACTTTGGTGATATAATACTCTTTTCTCACGCCTACTATTGCTGCTGTGGTCAATTTTTTTGCTTATCTTCGCCAATGTGTGAGTGTGTATGTGCTATTTTTGCGTTAACGGCAGTAGAATTCCACTTTTAGCTCACTTTACGAGGTAGTTTTCGCTATGATCTATATATATATATATATAGTTGCCTATTTCAGAAGCAACGTGCATTTTAAGTGGATACGTTTGTGTGCATGGATGCAACAGCCTAATGTGGTCAGTTTCTTGCCTTTCTTGCGGATTAATGATGTGCCAACGAGTTAGACAAGTTGAGTGTTGACTTCTCGGCTTGTCAAACTTTCCTGCCTCATTTTTTTTTCTCCTGTACTGTCTGCCGCTCTCATCGACCTCGCCTTGTCATTCACTAGGCGCGTGCTATATTCTGGCAAAGCTCTTTATTTTTGCTTTGTAACGAAAGACAGCCTCGCTTTCACAAATTTCTAAAGCCATCAATTATTCATGCCGTTTTTTGTGGAAGGATTGTGTTTTATTGCGTCTTGTACTTTTAAATTCCTCCCCCCCCCTCCTTCTCTTCTCTTCTCTCCCTCCCTTTCTCTCTCTTTCGCTCGCTAGTTTAAGGAATTTTAGCAGTTTTAATAGCCGTTTACATATTCACAAACACAAGCACACACACACACACCTATATATATGCATTATTCGCTTGTGGGCTTGCATTACCTGCTCTCACTTTCTCGTATTGCCTGGGTACACTGCACCCTTCACTCAAGCTTCGTATTGCGCAATCTTGCTGCTCCTACTCGGAATTACTTGCCCCTCATACGCGTAGACTAACTTACCTCATTCACCTCAAGGTTAAAGGCGGGGGTGGGGTG